GGGGGCATTATGGGGGTTGGGGGGGTCATGGGGAAGACTGGGAGAACTGGGGGGGGACTGGAGGGGAGACGAGGGGGTCATGGGGAGTAATGGGGGAAATTGGGGGGGTGGTGGGGGGAGACTGGGGGACTCTGGGGGGCACTGGGGGTCCGGGTCACGGGGATCACACAGGGTCACATTGGGGTCACATTGGGGTCACACTGTTGTGACACTGTGCTCACATTGGGGTCACATCAGGGTCACATTGGAGTGACAGTGGGGTCACATTGGGGTCATGTTGGGGTGACATTGGGGTGACATTGCGGTGACATTGCAGTGTCATTGGGGTCACATCAGGGTCACATTGGGGTCACACTGGGGTTACATTGCAGTGACATTGCGGTGTCATGGGGGTCACATTGGGGTCACATGGGGGTCACGTTGGAGTCACATTGGAGTGACATTGCGGTGTCACTGGGGTCACCTGGGGGTCACATTGGGGTCACATTGCAGTGACATTGCAGTGACATTGGGGTCACATCGGGGTCACATCGGGGTCACATTGGGGTCCATGTTGGGGTGACATTGGGGTCACATTGCAGTGACTTTGCAGTGTCATTGGGGTCACATGGGGGTCACATCAGGATCACATTGCGGTCACATTGGGGTCACATTGCGGTGACATTGCAGTGTCACTGGGGTCACATTGGGGTCACATTCAGGTCACATTGTGGTGACAGTGCAGTCTCATTGGGGTCACATTGGGGTCGCATTGGGGTCACATTGGGGTGACATTGCGGTGACAATGCGGTCATATTGAGGTGACATTGGGGTGACACTGCAGTCACATGGGGGTCACATTGGGGCCACATTATGGTCACATTGGGGTCACATTGGGATCACATGGGGGTGACATTGCGATCACATTGCAGTGACATTGCGGTGACATTGGGGTCACATTGGGGTCACATCGGGGTCATGTTGGGGTGACATTGGGGTCACATTGCGGTGACATTGCAGTGTCATTGGGGTCACATCAGGGTCACACTGGGGTCACACTGGGGTCACATTGCGGTGACATTGCGGTGACATTGCGGTGACATTGCAGTGTCATGGGGGTCACATTGGGGTCACATGGGGGTCACGTTGGAGTGACATTGCGGTGTCACTGGGGTCACATCAGGGTCACATGGGGGTCACATTGGGGTCACATCAGGATCACATTGCGGTCACATTGGGGCCACGTTGCGGTGACATTGCGGTGTCATTGGGGTCACATCGGGGTCACATTGGGGTCACATTGCAGTCACATCAGGGTCACATTGGGGTCACATCGGGATCATGTTGGGGTGACATTGTGGTGTCATTGGGGTCACATGGGGGTCACATTGGGGTCACAGCGGGGTCACATTGCGGTGACATTGCGGTGACATTGTGGTGTCATTGGGGTCACAGCGGGGTCACATTGGGGTGACATTGGGGTGATATTGTGGTGACATTGGGGTCACATGGGGTCACGTTGCGGTGTCAGAGCGTTCATCACTGTCTTGGGGTGACAGAGGGTCACATAGGGGTGACATGGGGACCCTAATGGGCTGACATAGGGACACCATAGGAACACCGTAGGGACAGCATAGAGACACCATGGGGGTGACGTAGGGACACCATAGGGATGCTATAGGGTGACATGGGGACATCATTGGGGTTCTATAGGGGTGAAACGGGGGATGTCATGGGAACAACAGAGGGGTGACATACAGGTGACATAATGTGACATGGGGACGCCATGGGGTTGTCACAGGGGTGACATAGGGACCCATAGGGACGCCATAAGGATGCCATGGGGCACTGTAGGTGTGATATAGGGACACCTTTGGGACGCCATGGGGATGTGACACCATAGGAGTGACATAGGGACACCATAGGGGTGACATAGGGACACCATTGGAATGCCATAAGGACCCCATAAGGACCCTATAGGGGTGAAAAATGCGGACACCAGTGGGGAGATAATAGGGATCCCATAGGGATGACAGGGGGATGTCTTAGGGGTGACATGGGGACACCACAGGGATACCACAGGGATGCCATATGGGTGACATAGGGACACCATAGGGACACCGTAGGTGTGACACAGGGATGCTGTAGGGGTGACATGGGGACATCCCTGGGGTTCCATAGGGGTGATATGGGGTTGTCATGGGGACAATAGAGCGGTGATGTAGGTGACACCATAGGGACACCATAGGGACACCATGGGGGTGACGTAGGGACACCATAGGGATGCTATAGGGTGACATGAGGACATCCCTGGGGATGCTATAGGGGGACATGGGAGACGTCATTGGGACAACAGAGGGGTGATATAGGTGACACCATAGGGACACCATAGGGATATCACAGGGACACCATGGGGGTGACATAGGGACACCATAGGGATGCTATGGGGTGACATGGGGACATCCCTGGGGTTCCATAGGGGTGATATGGGGATGTCATGGGGACAACAGAGGGGTGACGTATGGGTGCCATGGGGACACCATAAGGGACACCATGGGAATGCTGTAGGGGTGACATGGATGCCATAGGGGTGACATAGAGGTGACATAGGGACACCTTAGGGACAGCACTGGGACACCGTAGGAATGGCATAGGGCTGCCATAAGGGTGACATAGGGGTGACACAGGGGTGTGATGGGGACACCATGGGGACACCAGAGGGGTTCCAGAGGGGTGACACTGGGATGTCGTGGGGATGCTATAGGGATAACATGAGAATGACATATGGGTGCCATAGGGGCACCATTGGCGTGGCATGGGGGTGACAGAGGTGACACCATAGGGGTGGCATAGGTGTCACCATCGGGATGCCATGGGGGCGGCAGAGGTGACACCGTAGGGACGCCATAGGGAAATCATAGGGAACCCGTAGGGGTGCCATGGGGACATCATAGGGGTGACGTAGTGGTGATATAGGTGACACCATAGCGGTGACACAGGGGCTCTATAGGGACGCCATATGGGCTCCGTAAGGGTGCCATAGGGGTGCCATAGGGGTGACATGGGGACATCATTGGGGTTCCATAGGGGTGACATAGAGGCATCATAGGGGTGACACAGGAATACCATAGGGTCACCATGGGGATGACAAAGCGACACCATAAGGATGTCATAGGGGTGACACAGGGACAACATAGGGACAGCATTGGGGTGATATATGGGTGGCATAGGGACACATAAGGACACCATAGGGGCACATGAGGACACCATAGGGGCACATCAAGATGCCATAGGAACACATAAGGTTGCCATAGGGGCACATCAAGACGACATAGGGACACATGAGGACATCATAGGGACACGTAGGGATGCCATAGGGACACATAAGATGCCATAGGGACACGAGGACTCCATAGGGGCACATAAGGATGCCATAGGGATGCATGAGAACTCCATACATAAGGACACCATAGGGGCACATGAGGACTCCATAGGGACACATGAGGACACCATAGGGACACATAAGATGCCATAGGGACACATAAGGATGCCATAGAGACACGTGAGAACTCCATAGGGACACATAAGGACACCATAGGGGCACATGAGGACACCATAGGGGCACATAAGATGCCATAGAGACACGTAAGGATGCCATAGGGGCACATAAGGACGCCATAGGGGC